TATATAAATTGCTTCCATCACTCTCCAAATTTTGGGAGTGCAAAAAATAAAACATGGCCTCAGATACACTCTAAGTCCCCACATCAGGTAACAGACTGCCAATTCCATTTTTCAATCACAGAAGTGAAGAAAGTGTCAATCAAACAGAAGTAAACCAAATATAAAAAAATTATATATTCTCCTAGGGTGAGACATTTCATGCCAGGATTCAAACCAGGCTGAACAAACTTTTATGGCTGACTTGTACAGCTCTGAAAATAACTTTTTTTATGGAAACCCTAGAAACCCTTAACTGTTGCAGTGTTTGAAGAAGCCATTAGAGTATACTGCATAAATGAACCATAAGTTCCAGGAGCATCTTGCACACATCTACTATGAGATATATAAAACAAGGTAAAAAGTGGATGAATCCCACCATCATAAAGAACAGCATAATCTAAGTTTCTATTACAAATCCAACCTCACCTGCTTCACCTCATTACTTCTGTTCTTATGTTACAGAAGATCATGCCCTAAACTCAAATTCTTGCAATATCTGGGTATACTAGAGCCACAAGGATGAAGTAAATGGGAAACATTGCCTTGAATTGTATACAACTTATGTTAACAGTAATATTTTTTATCATGAACAAATGATATTCTGAGGTCTTATTTTAGATTTTGTGTACCTTTAAGGAATATACATTAAAACACTGCAAATGATTTCAGCTGCATGACTGACTTTAATATAATAATATTTTATACATTTACACAGTATCTTTCATCCAAGGATCTCAAAAAATTATACAATATTAGGTTTTGCATTAGGTATCAAATGTTTAGTGCAATAGGTATTACCTCCATTTTACTGATGTGAAAATGAAGGAAGATAATATGACTTGCACGAGTCAGTGACAGAGCCAGATTACCAGCTGAACCATCCTCACTCCCTACCCTGATTATCCAAAATAAATATGGCAGCAGTAGTAAAGGTTTCCCCCCTGCCATATAACCAAATTCCTGTCCCCATTTTCAAAGCAAACAGGATAGTTCATAGACTTCATCACTTGACTTGACAGTTAGCAAGGTGTACCTAATTTTTGTAATTTGGACTAAAATATATTGCTATTACTCTACAGTGGTGTCTTCTAATATATTCAATGAAACATTAAAGCCTCAGCCTCTGTGAAAACATTCGATTCCGTCATTTTCAGAAATGCCTGTTGATGTGTACCGGAAAGAGACTAGAAAAGATGTGCCAACGCAAATACTAACTCCACACACACACACACACACACACACTCTCTCTCTCTCTCTCTCTCTCTCTCTCTCTCTCTCTCTTTAACCTAAATCCCATGAGATATTCAATCCAAACAACCCCAAACTCTGAAAGCAACCTGGCCAGTGTGATCAAATTTAAAATAATTTACAACACAAGAAAGGTAAGTAGTAGAAAATAATACACACACACACACACACACACACACACACACACTCTCTCTCTCTCTCTCTCTCTCTCTCTCTCTCTCTCTCTTTAACCTAAATCCCATGAGATATTCAATCCAAACAACCCCAAACTCTGAAAGCAACCTGGCCAGTGTGATCAAATTTAAAATAATTTACAACACAAGAAAGGTAAGTAGTAGAAAATAATACAAACTTGAAGGCAGAAATTGCAAACTACTAAAGAGCAGTACTAGAGAGGCCTTTACTCCCCTCATTTGTTTTAGGATTTTTGCTAACTGGGCATTTCTGCTTGACTTTTGAAACAACTCTTGTATGTGTTACAGAAAATAAAGGTTGGGGATGAATTTTGCTAACCTATTACACTGGAGGATGTGTGTCCATAATATCTCCAAACAACCTTAAGTCATCGGGACAATGCATCCAGGGAGACATTTACCCCCAAGCAGAGGATCAATGCTATGGGGTTTTTTAAGAGCCCTGTTCTATCTCTACATAGAGGTGAATTTCACCATATTTGAGCATCCTACATGTAATGCCTTTCCTTTTTCATTTCAATATCTGAATTGTCAAGTTAGTGTGAACTGCAAGCAAAATGTCTATTTGGAATGATGTTTATGTATCATAGGTAATATTCAGCCCCAAAGACACTCCACTACAAATGACAAGATCCACTACCTGTCGAATGACTGAGGGTATTCACTCCAGCAGCCCGCAACTGGAGAGGATTAGCTCACAATGGCTGCCACTATCAGTGAAACAGCAAGTAGCAGACAGTTCATTTTACAAAAACTTAATGGAGTGTACAGCTCTGGCTGTTTAATACAAGCACTGTCAAGGCATCTAAGCAAAAACGTCTCAACTGTCAGTGCTGACAAGCTGAGCAGAATTATTTGTCACACTGGAATAGATAAGGGACTGGTAGTGTGGTGTATGGTGCCACTACCATACATCTCCATACAGCAGCCACAGACAGCAGGCATATTTGTGCTCTAAAATACACTGGCAGCAGCATAGTATTACTGTATTGGTGTACCTTTGTTCACGCTCCTCTCTCTATATCTACACAACTGAACTACATGAGCAGCCAACAGTCACGAAAGGATAGGTTAGGGACTATTTAGAAGAGCTGAATGTACACAAGTCCACGGGGCCAGAAGCACTGCGTTCAAGGATACTGAGGGAGTTGGCTGATGTGATTGCAGAGCAGCTCACCATTATCTTTGAAAACTCATGGTGATTGGGAAAGGTCTCGGATGATTGGAAAAGGGAAAATACAATGCCCATCTTTAAGAAAGAGAAAAAAGAGGATTTGGGGAACTACAGTCGGGCCAGCATCACCCTGGCAAAATCATGGTGCAGGTCCTCAAAGAATCCCTTTTTAAGCATTTGGGAGGAAAAGAAGCGATTAGGAACATTCAGCATGAATTCATCAAGGGCAAGATTTTCCTGGCCAACCTGATTGCCTTCTATGACAAGATGACTGGCTCTTTGGATGTGGGGAAAACAGTGGACATGTTATAGCTTGACTTTAGCAAGGCTTTTGATAGTTTCCCACAACATTCTCACAAACAAGCTAAGCAAGTACGAGTTGGATGAAAAGACAGTAAGGTGGATAGAAAACTGTCTGGATTGTCAGGCTGAAAGGGTAGTAAATCAATGGTTTGATGTCTAGTTGGCAGCCAGTACCAAGCGAAATGCTCCAGGGGTCAGCCCTGGAGCCAGTTTTGTTCAATATCTTCATCAATGACCTGCAAGATGGGAAAGAGTTCACCCACAGCAAGTCTACAAATGATACCAAGATGGGAGAGTAGTAGATATAGTGGAGAGTATGGTTAGAATTCAGAGAGACCTAGACAAATTAGAGGATTGGACCGAAGAAATCTTGTAAGGGTCAATAAGGACAAGTGAAAAGTCCTGTACTTAAGACAGAACAATCCCATGCACTGGTACAGGCTGAGGACGGACTGACTAAGCAGCAGCTCTGCAAAAAAGGACCTGGGTGTTACAGTGGACAATAAGCTGAATATGAGCCAACAGCATGCCATTGTTGCATACAAGCCTAATGGCATACTGGGCTGCATTAATAGGAGCCTTGCCAGCACATTGAGAAAAGTGATTATTCTGCTCTATTTGACACTGGTGAGGACACATCTGGAGCACTGTGTTCGGATTTGAGCCCTACCCCTCAGAGAAAGGATGTAGACAAAAGAGTCCAGAAAAGGATAACGAAAATGGTTAGGGGGCTGGGGAACATGACTTTTAGGAGAGGCTGAGGGAACTGGGCTTATTTAGTCTGGAGAAGAGAGGACTGAGGGGGGATTTAATAACAACCTTCAACTACCTGAAGAGGGGCTCCAAAGAAGATGGGGCTACACTGTTGTCAGTGGTGACAGATGACAGAACAAAGAGCAATGGTCTCAAGTTGCAGCAAGGGAAGTTTAAGTTAGAGATGAGGACACAAAAAAGCAAAAAACTCTCTCACCAGGAAGTAGTAAAACACTGGAACAGGTTACCCAGAATTTCAATCCTTGGAGGTTGTTAAGACCTAGCTGGACAAAGCCTTGCCTGGGGTGACATAGTTGGAGATGGTCCTGCTTTGAGCAGGGGGTTGGACTAGATGACTTCCTGAGATCCCTTCCAACACTAATTTTCTATGATTCTGACTATACTCCTCCCCTTTGCAGTGTGTTTTATACCTTACAATTAAATGGTCTTCATTTTGGTTGTCCCATAACTGAATGTTGTCATCACCCCTAAAATCACAGAATAATTTCCATATCTCCAGCTGGTGCAATTAATGGAGGCCTATGAAATTACACTAGCTAATGATTCATCTTGTTGCATTTATCCCATCATACAATAGCTTTTCTCTAATAGCTGCTTCTCACTTTCATGCAAAGGCTATGGTTTTCTATTGTTCCATATGCGCATTTGTGCTAGTTAACACTAAAAATCCTTCTGGCTGATACTTAAGAGGAAGCCAAAGTTGAATTTATACAGTCCACCTCTTTGGGCACACACCTCCATATAGATATACAGCCCTGGTGCTTTAAAATTTCATGTGTCCTGCAAGAAAAGTCTCCTCATGTAGAAGGAAATGAATGTTATTTATTCATTGGAATTCATTCTGCAGAACAGGAAATCCCCATTGGAGAGGAGGAATTTTGAGACTGAGGGACTGTAATTGGGAAGACGTATCCTCTCTTGCAGACTCTTGATGGTTACCTGCCTCCTGAATAAACATTGATCAAAAGCTTATTTCAGGAAAAATGTTTAAATAAATACATTTTCTTTTCTTGCACGAAGTTAGATAGAACTTTACCAGATATACAAGTGGTGAGCAGTATATGGAGATGAGAGATAACAGACTTGATTACCTACCCATCAGCCCTATTGTCTCTCTGTAAGTTTGTGTGCACAATCAAGCCCTTACCTCTCTCTAAAAGTGCAAAGTTTCAAGAAGTTAAATGAATAGAGGATTGTTGCAGGTGGAATAGATCTAGGAAAGGAGGAGGAGTCTGGAGATAAATGCAAGGAAGAAGGAGCAGTAGAAACAAAAGAGAAACATTTTGAGCAGAATATTACAGAAGTCTTGAGGGATACATTTCTGAATATAACCTCTCCATTGATCTGAAATCTAGCAAGGGAATGGTATGGTAGAAGGGAAAACCTATCATGGCAGCAGGCTTGCCAAGACATAAAAGAGACCCTGTTTGGGAACATTTTAATGAAGTTCCTCTACCTGTGGATAAGACAGGCATTCATGCAACATGCAAACAGGGCGGCAAAGAAATGCAAGACCTGATTGCCCGAATGAAACAGCATCATGAGAAGTGCTCCTTCTCAGGAGGAGGCTGCTTTGAAGATGATGAACGGAGCATGTTTGAACATGCAGGATCTCCAGGTTAGTGAACTTTCTTATTTCATACTTCTTTCTGAAAAAATGGCAAAAGGCCTTCTTACAAACGGATTAATGTCTTATTTTCATAGATGTCTCAGTGCCCCCCCAAAATTGAAAGATGCACAAGTGGTGACTTTTTTCCCTCCTTTATAGCTGTAATACTAAATGTCTGTTACAAAACAGGTATCAATTGTTATATGTGTGCATGGTACTTTCCAAACACTGATAAAGATAATAGGAAATACAGAGAAGATTAAGCTTGAAGAATATGGTTGTGTGTGTACGTGTGCACTTGAACATGTAGTGGGACAGCCCCCAATGTTTTAGCCCAAAAGCTGAGTAGTTAGGGCACTTCCCAAGGCAGCTGGAAAGCCAGGTTCTAGAGCCGCCCCCCAACCACAGATCAAGCATCATCCAGCCCGCTCTCTAGCGCACCTTTCAAAGCTGGCCTCCTGGGAAGCCATGAGCTAGGCATATGTGAGCCTAAACACTCAGCTTCTGGGCCTTACACATGGGAGGTTCTTTTCCCTCCCACTTCTAACAGCCATTAGTCATGAGTTTCTGGCCAGGTAAATTTTTCAGACCTGGATTCAGGCACACATCCAGATGGGCACAAGTATATAGCTGCATACATGCCTAGGCAATACACATACTCAGTTTATATGCCTATATTTACACATGCAGAGGAAACAGAACACCATATACGGCATGTGTAGAAGAAACAGGGGCCCTAAATTGAAGTGGTGGGTTTTAAAAACACTGCTTCAATGTAGGGCTGATTAAACCCCCGTGTCGTACACACACCCTTCTGACTTACCTGCCTCTCCGGCAGGGAGCAGAGGGCGAGCTTCCAGTGGACAGAGCGGTCCCTGGGCTGGGGGGTGGGGCTGGTGTTTCCTCCCACAGCAGCGGCAGCCCTCCGCCAGGCAGCACCCACCTGCAGGCATCTGGTTTGGGCGGTCCTGGGGGGCACCGCAGCCACGGAGGGAAGCATTGGGCCCCTGCGCAGCTCAGGCAGGCAGGCAGGCTCCAGGGGAAAAAAGAGAAAAAGGATCAGAGGCTTGCTGCTTTTCTTGGGTGGAGCCTGCTCTCCTGGGCTGCTGTCAAGCTGCCTGCAGGGCTTCCTGCAGAGCCGTGGAGATGCACGGAGCCCAGTGCCTCGCTCCGCAGCTGTAGGGGCAGCAAACTGAAACTCCTTGAAGGAGCTTTAGTTTGCTGTGCCCCAAGTCATTTAAGGCGCATTACGCCACCAAATTTCCTACAGAGATTGGAATCAATGTGCAATACACCGCCAAGGCGTGCAAACACCAACACCATTAAAGCGGTGCAAAAGCATTTAGCCCGCTTTAAAGTGTTACGCATACACGCCTCTCGTTTCGTCTACACACGGCCATACGAGCCAAAAATACCACTTAGATAGCTAGAAGCAAAACAGAATACTACCCCTGATCGTAAATCTCATGTGTCATGTTGTAATAACACTTTATAGTTTTAGTCTCTTGGGAATCCTTACAATAATGATATGAGGCCATTCCAGGAAGCAATATGTTAAATTGCTTAGCATTTTATTACAGGGGTAATATTGTGGTCATAGCATCAACATGACTATTTTTCTCGTGTACTGTAACGCTAGAATTTAAGAATGAAAGGTAACAGAAGAGGCCTTTTCTGGAATATTTTCCTGTCAAGAACATTTTAAAGGGCAATTATTGAAATTTTAGCAAGAAACAAGTGAAAGCATGTGTGAAAAAGTGAAGTTACCTCATTGTTTCCTATACTTCTTTTGCTATTATGACATTTCTGATTTAAAAAAAATATATATATGAGTATTGGTTGGTTGGATGAATCAACTGCTTCAGCAACAACAACAAACTGTTTTTCATTTAGACAGATTACCTCCCCAAGGTTACATTCCCCAGGTTTTCAGAGTGAGATGGTTACAAGTGAAATATAAACAGAAAACGCAGGGATGTAAACCAGCCCTGTAGCAACTGCAGGGATAGGCCTTATTTCTCAAAGACCTTTCCCCATTTCTAGACATCAAGTGACTGCTTCTATATAGCTTCCCATGCACCCTCTGAGAGCCTGATAAAGCTTTCTACCTCCTGCCCTACAGTAATAAATCCACATGCTGTGGACAAGAAACGATGAGTATATAGCTAACGCGTACACACACCTGCACAACAGGACAGAAACTCTCATCCTTCAACTCCAAAGCAAAGGCCATTACTGCTTGAGCTAAAAAGTCTCTTACTCTCTGCCGGTGAAATTCACTCCTAGACAGAAGATCAACGCAACCTCCATACAACACTTAAATCCTGCTTGACCCCTATAAACAGCACAGAAAAGCATGGATGCTGCATTAGCTCTTTGCATAGAGGTAGACTTCACCAGCCAAACGAATCACTAAGGGAGACATCTCTCCCTCGCACACACTGCTGTACTTTATTTCTCTTTTCCATGTAAGGGCTGAGTAGGGCATTATCACCTTACTTGACAGAAACCGGGTCTGGAGTCCAGTGCTTGACACCAAAAGTTCATCTTCATAACCCAGAAACTCTTTCTTCCTTAAACATAAAATGAAAGGCACATACAATTTCCACGGTGATGCCACAAGAAAATTGGATATAATAAAATTAACATTATAAAGAGCCAGCTAGATAAAGCTTTGGCTGGGATGATCTAGTTGGGGATCATCCTGATTTGAGCAGGGGGTTGGACTAGATGTCTTCCTGAGGTCCCTTCCAACCCTAACTTTCTATGATTCTATGACTTCTATGTGTAATCAAGGAGGAAGGGGAAAAAGAGAGAGGCTGAGAAAAAGCAAATAGTGAATACAAATGAAAGTAAAAAACAGCAATCTGAAAACATCCAGTAAAGACAGACTCTTATTTATTACATGGTTGAAGGGTACTTAAGAAATGGTCAGCCAACCTTCTTAGAGGGTACACTCATATTAGGGTTTTAAAATGCGGCATCACTCAGAGCACAGTCCAGAGGCCCAGGACCATATGAACAGCAAAGAAGATTTTTTACTCAGTTCATCACGAATACAGTTACGTAGCGGTAGGGGAGTAGGGAAGGAGAGCAACACCCGCATAGCTAAAGGCTAATGTTTCAGCAGAAAACTGCCTTCTAGAATTAAAGCTTTGGAAAAGAGCCACGCTTAAACAGATCTACCAACCAATACGAGAACTCCTTCCTAGCAATTCAGCCAATCAGTTAATAATGTGACATCAGGCTTCTCAGAAGACATCATTAACTCAGTTGAAAAGTAGAAAAAATAGAACGCAAATTACAACATCCTAACGATACAAAAATGGATAAATTTACATGGGCACTAAAAACAATCACATAATCGTTCTGAGAAAAAGAATTTTAAATCACAAACAATTTAATCAGAGAAAAAGTAATAAAATAAGTGTAATGTTACCAATTAAAGGGCATGAATTCAACTCCAAAATGTAAGCACATAAAACAAAATCTAAGAACATATAAGATCTTATACAAGTACAGAAACAAAACTGGAATCTTTATCAAGGAAAAAAAAGACATTTCAATGTATGTTTGTGCCTATATAGTTACCAGGGCTGTGCGAAGCTTCGGTCACCGATTTGGAGGCGATTCAGGCAGACATGGTGGCCGAATCTCAGAATCCGAATCGAATCAGGAGACCCATTAATCTGTAACGTGCCCCTCCTTTTAGTATTGCGTTTCCCCCAGGGCTCCTGGGCACTAAGTCTGCATCGTCCGCAAGGCTGAGGATTGTGACTGAGGTGTGCCAGTGCCCCTGTAGGAACGGCAGCCCAGAGATTCCTGGCTAGAGGATCTTGCCCCCCCATTTTAGGATCAGACTGATTCCCATATTTTGGTTCAGGAAAGAATTCTAGCCCATGGTCAGCCTGGTACAGACTGGCGGTGTTGCCTTCCTCTGTAGTGAGGGGCATGGTCCTCTTCCGTATTTTAATAACCCTCACAGAAGCAAAACATAGGCCACTGTTGTCCCCCTGCTTTACCTGTGGCAGGTTAAGGTATTGTGCCTTGTGGTTGGATCATTGCCTTTGCCTGTGAAGTTGTGCTAGTAAGTTAGAGA